TTGTTGGTTTTGCTTGCTTCTTGTACCTGTCGTTGACCGCTCCCTGCATCACCCAAAAATTCTTGGCTGGGCCGAGAATGTCTGTAGCAAGTTAGGTCAGCCTTGAACAAAATGATTGTGCAAAAACTTAAATAAATATTAGATTGCTTACCATAATATAATCATAAAAGAAACAACAGAAGAATCTTAAAAGCGTATCAATTACAATTATGTATTCTTACGAGATTGTCATAGAAATGCGATCATTTTCAGCATTCAGAGCACGCAGAGTGACACGGTGAGCGGTGATGTGACGTCACAACAGTGTGCCGCGGGATGGTGACGTCATTAACTCATTTGATCACTAATAGAAACTGAACAGTTCAATGAATATGATTAAATAATTAACAATATTAAATAACCTTTGAGTGGTGTAATTACATCAATATTATGCTCAAACGAAGCCGCGCGCCGTTTACAACAGAGCCAGTGGCTCGTGAATTACTTTAAGTTGAAAATATTATATTTGTGATAACTTTGTATCACGAATGACTCATTCTTGTAAGTTTATACGTTTAACTGTGAGCTCAACAATATAAGGGAAATCTTTTTTTTTACTTAATTGTTTCTTTATATTTCTCTGTCATGGTGTATTAAATGTATGAAGCTGTCAAATCAGGTTTAGTGTGTTTTAAACCTGAGCACCCGTTGTAATAAGTAGCCTGCCGCTACCGGTTGCTTATAGATGTGGAGACTGCTTGATTGCCTGCAGCTGTGTATCGCAGAGACGGCTCTACTACAGGTGCCAGTGTACGCAACTCAGCGCCGCTCGCTCTGTAGTAGAGCAGCGCGCGTGCCATTCCATTACCTGCGGAATGCTGGGCTGTCGTTGCGACGTGCTTCTCCGACACACTATTCATTACCTTAAGCTCCAAGTCTGCTCGCTATTACTTACATTTCATCTGACTAACATTTACCGAGCACTGAACATTAAACATCACACACAGGACAATGCCTTTAAGTCTTTAATTTTATGATTACAAAACATCATGCGCATCACCTGATGGTAAGCCTGTGGGAGCTGCCTCTACCTTTACATCAGTAACGTCTACTATTGCACTTTAATGTCGTTACTCAATGGTGTCTTGCGACAAACATGAAAGTCTAAATATTATTATTTTCGTGCGTCACTACACTTTTACGTCTAAACTCAAAGCGACTTGCAGCTGTTTGAAACGATGTCAATGTTTGACCGTCTGAGATAGGCTTTGGCCTAGAAATTCGTTATCATAAGTCCAATGAACGTTAAAGCATCTTAGAGATATTTAAATTAATTAAAAAGGAACACATAACAAGAAAAATGTTACAATTAAGTTCTGGCACAACTTAATAGTAATGGAGTTATACTCGTAGTAGAAATTAGTAAATAAGCAACGGTTGGTGAGAGTAACACGACGCATGTCCCCGGTGCGTCTCGTGTACAATAATGTAGATATGGGAATGGCTGGGACAATGGTAAATAAGTGGTCGTCGCTTGCACTCGTACAGACGTCGGCGCTAAGCACTCCCTCACAAAACGAGATAAGTCACGTCCTCCCTCCGCCTGCTTCTGCTTACCTCCTGCACTTCTCTTAGAGAGTACTCGGCTCTTTTCACGAGGAAAGGATTACCCGGCTTATCGGGTTGAGCCGCCGCTGCCAGGTCAAACGGATCACTTCTTAAAACATTTTAGAACAATATTTTCAGTTATTGTAGAATTTGGAATTATTCGAAACGGAGAGCGGTACACGATCTATTACAGTAAGAAATATGTATAAACTGTTAGTTGGAGTAAGTTTATCAAGTTATTCTACAAAATTTACACACCAACCTTTACCATATAAATATACTTATCTAAATAATGTATACTTGATAGTAAAAGCTTCAAATTCGTTTTTAAATATGAAGGCATCGAAGCAGGTCTCGGCTACGTTTAAGTTATACGCAATGGAAGGATCAACATTCATTTAATTAATGAGTAAGAGTAGAACTTAAACAAATGGTATATAACTGTTTAAATACTGGCTTGGCTCAGTTTTCGTTATGGAAAATTGTGTTGAATAGTGCTACGCCGTAGTCGCACTACGTCGTAGTAATGCTACGATGCTACACGGCTAACGTGTTTACGTGGCTACATGGACCTTACACTGTGGGAGGGATCTGTGCAAATATAAGAATCGCAAATGGCCGCAAATACGTGATATATTCGCTTAAGTTATTTGCCAGCAGTGCATGGCATACTAATGTGGACGCGTGCGGTCCACGAGTGGCGCGTCGCGTCCTTTCTTCGTAAGGTTGTTGTTGCCACTTGTTTACTTTTAACTCAACCATATCACACTAAATGTAGTGAAAAATATCCATAGAAATATTGCGAATGCGAGGTTGTTTGATGTTTCAGTAGACAACAATACTGAATTAAGTAATGTTATATTAGTAAGCACAACCGCCAGTGCTGAGCCGGCGCGACTCTCTCATTATCGAGATACAACTGTTAATCACCGCGCGGAACTGCTGACCGAGCTCTGTGTTATTATTTAATAGTAGCGTGCACTGGCTGACACTCACACCGACCACGAACAGGACCCGGCTCTGTCTAGTCACAGACACAGATAACGAGACCATCACACGTCTTATGTGTAATATACTTGTTTCATTTTTCAATCAGATTGTGGAGAGCCAGCCGAGGTCAGGTTCGGAGCCGAATGAACACTTCATTATCACACATTACGGTCAGTTTCATGTTGGACTAATTCTTTAATGATAACCGACTTGGACATGTGTTTATTCGTAGTACCTAATATAATTTAGATAACTTTTCTACTATTATATAATTAGAATACATCCCAGCAAACAGGGATACTGTTAAATTTTCTCTACTATGCACTATATACCCAATAAACCATATATACATAAATAAATAATATCGTAGCCTGATCGAGAGTTGACGTTTCCACGGTCGGTGCAAGTATATCGGGCCGCTGTGTAGTGCGCCGCTAATCCAATTACCGGCCGCATCGGCAGTGCGAGCGTATCGTGCGAGAGTCGCGACCACTCCACAGCTGTATACACTGCGCACTGGTTTCATGGCACGCTTTAGCCAATAACGCTCTGTTCACTAATCCCTACCTTTGTTCGCCATAGAATACAAAGTACAAAATAACTGCCTGTGTACAACTAAACTCTTCTGTTTGGATGTACTTGACTGTATTTATTCAATAGCGCTACACAAACAGTTCAAACATTGTTTTGTAACAACAAACACATTTTTCATTTGTTTATATCAACAACAGCAGTGATCAAAACAAACCAAACACGATAACATCGCTTTGGAGAAAACAAAATACAATTAAAATAACAATTGTTGTGTAATGAGTAACAGTTGTTCAGCAAATAGATTGCAACATAAATCATAGAGCAGACCGCAGCCCGTGTGTTCCACGTAACACAACCAGACGAACAGATTTATATGTATCGAGCGCTCAACTAGCTGCGCGGGGCATAGTCCACCGGTCGGCCAGTCATTCATACTCGGATTATTGCGGAGAGGATAGAGAGAAAGAGAGATATAATATTGTTTTCATTTGTTTGTTTGTTTGTTAGTTGGTTATTGAAAGCCCTTTCTATGGCACAGCGTGGGAAACAAGCAGGTTGCCCACCTGATGGTAAGCAATTCGCGCTGCCCATACACCGACATACCACCAGAGCAGTCGCATGTTTGTTTGAAATGGATTACTTTTGATAGGTTTATTGAATTTAATGGTAGTTGATGCTGATCATGCAGCTGCCTTAATTGGCGTTAACAACAGAGTGAAGCGTGGGTACGCCTTAGGCTAGCTAGTGGCACCGAGCCGTCACAGCACTAATGCGATAGTCCGCACCGACTGCACGCGTCCTTTACTGAGCCGACCTAAGCTCACAAAGCTACAACTACTACGACATTCGTCACCACAAATACATATATGTATATTCACTGGCATCACCAAAGAAACTAAAATGAAGATTACGACTCGATCCCGTGTAATAACTCAGTATATGAGTAGTTTATAAAAACGTTGTCAGTACGATTGACATTACAGCGCGCGGGCGGCAGTCGGAGCTCTCGCAAATATTAGCGCAGCCAGCACGTGATCAGATTTGAATGAATTATTCAAGTCGCGGCCCTCTACCGTTTGTCTTGGGAGACGGCTGCAGAATCCGATAGCGCTTCAGCGCTGCACCGCGTAGAGATTAGATCATGCAAAAATGTTCCACGTATTATAGCGGATGGGCGCTGCAAGCGCTGCATTGTAATGAGATCAAATGCTCGAACTATAGATGGTTTAAATGTGCGATCAAGTTTAAAGATCGTCAGGAAATTACTACAAATATTTGTACGTTGCACTCGCTGCATCCTATTGTTGTTGTTTTAAAGCGTATAATACTGTGTTAGATAACGGGGCAAGTGTAAAGTTAAAGCACTGCCAGTGTTGTGGAGTGTATTCATGGTCCAACATCCGTTTTGTGAGTCGTTTATAGGGACAAAGCAGTACCTGCAGTACACAGCGTGAGGCAAACATTAGTGGCTGCAGCCTGCTGGTGCTCCGGCACACACACGCGAGTATTTAGCGTACTTACAGCATTGTCTGCGTGTGGGTGAGTGCCGCTGCAAAACAAGTGGAATGTATATCTGCGCTCAATATTGTTCCGTCGGAAACAAAAGTAAAACTTTGCTCATAGATTGTTTAATGGCTTCCGCTGGCGCACCTCCAATGTGCGGTTCCGGTGGTTTAATCTGCTGACTGTAAATCTTACATTTTGTTGATTACACAACCTTTGTGTTACATCACAATGAATTTAACTTATAATACAATGGAGAGCTATGGCGTAATATGTTTACTCTTGCATTATTTAGAAAATAATAATTTCTGAAAAAAATATGTGTCGCCTTTGACCTTTTATTATACTCGTACAATAACACTTGGGTTCACTTACTAAATAAACAAAATATAACTTGAATTTGTTAAGGCTGAGTGTTGGAGGCAGCGTTGTACCGCTGTCGGTAGAGGGCGCGCGAGTACCTGGCGGTGACGGCGATGCCCTGCCAGGTCTCCTCGTTGACGTGGTCCATGTAGTGCGGCGGCACCAGGAACCCGTAGCCGTACCCCGGCAGCTCCAGCGTGTACGAGGTCGCGGCGCCCGCCACCTGCCGCGCACGACCACACACATGTACACACATACTCAGCTGTCACTAATATATTTATATATACAGGGTGTAAAAAGACACTTAACGAAGCCGTTAACTACGCATACTGCAGTTCTAAGTAGCTTTACGCTAAAATTATCAGTGGGAAACGACTTTTATTTTTAGGTATAAAAATAACAATAATTTGATTGCGCGCAATGTAAAGCAAACGGGCTTCGTGTCATTGTGTGCGTAGGGTCAAAGCTTAGCATTAAAACGATGTGATAAGTACGTAGGTCGACGTTTTACTTCACAACAACAAACCAATTCTGTAAAATAAAAATCCTATTGAGATGCACGATGTTTTTGTGCGGGTCTGCATTTATTTATTACGTACATTACTGTTCGTAACTTCAAATGCGTAATTTATTTAGAAAAATCAAAGTTCAGGTAATGTTTGTTTGGAAAAAAGTTTTCTCATAATACTTAGAATTCGATTGCGCAAAAAAATAATTAAAAATCCATCTTTGACCTTCAATACCTCGAGAACCCGTGAAGTCCCAGCTATGGTCTTAAAGAAAAAAATGATCCAAATAATGGGTGGAATACGTGGCTTTCAGCTTCGTTAAGTGTCTTTTTACACCCTGTATAGGTTCCCTGTATATCTGACGCAGCCGTTGGGATCGTTGCGGGTTCGGTTCCGGGTTCACGCATCATTCCCTGCCGCCGCTCCATTGCGCTACACGCTACGTTAGCGGCCGGCGCTCGCCTTCTGTTTCCTATCTCCGCTACTTTTATTGGCAGCTTGTTTAATTAATCGCTCGGACTCATTAGCCGGATACTCCTGCCACTGACTTCTGCCTACTGACAATCTCTGGCGTTACGATAAAGCGCCTTACCATGCTACCAAGAAGTTTTAAGTGGTCATATTCCACTTCATCGCGGAACACTGAATAAATATTTTACATAGTTACTTGAAAATAAAGACAAATAATAGATATCTACATATATAACATTCGGCGCAATGTTCCGCGCGTGCTAAGAATATGTACAGACAATGAGTAAACAATAATAATCGATGTAATCATAATCGTTATCAAAACTACAATAAATTCTGAGCGATAAGATTAGTGGCGGCGCGCGGTGGCGGCACGCTCGCCCGTGCCACGATTGGTCATCATATTTATAAAACAGCTTCAGAACTGATGAATTCTGGCGAGAGTTCAATACGTGACAGACTGTACGGATGTACATAATTAACCCAAGCTTTAATATCGAATAAGGAAAAGAAAGACAATATAAATACCTGACCGTAATCCTGAGCACTTCCCGAAGATGGGTACAGCACGGAGGCACTGTTTCCCACTCGGTAGAAACCAGCCTGAGGCAACTTTATAGCGTCCATGGCGGCGCCCATGGCGGCTCCCACAAGGAATATTTGTAAGGCGTTCGGCGGCAAAGTGGTGTCTCCGTACGCGAAGAGCACGTAGTTCCCGTGACTGTGGATGTCCATGAATATTTGCACTCTGTCCTTGTGTTCCGCGAGTATGTCCCTCACGTACCCTGTCTCGGGCTCCGAGAAGGGCCTGGGCCCGGCGTATGTATTCTGACAGGGATCTGCCGGCGTGCCTTGTCCATGGCGAACGTCAAAGTTCCTGTTGCCATCCACTCCGACACAGGTCGTGCTGATACTCTCGTCGATCGATCTAGTTTTACGCCACAAACGATCCTGCATCAAATTACAAAGTACGTAACTCTGGTTGAATGATATTTCATCTTGACTAAGAACAGGAATAATAATGTAATCCTTACTGTGGTATGAGAGTACTCGTATCCGTCCGGGTTGACGACTGGCAGAATGATCCAGTCGATGTCATGCAGCAGGTCTCGGTCCTGAGGCCTCAGGTTCTCCACCAGCCGGTAGACGGAGTACAGCGCCACAGGGGTGGTGACCCACTCGCGCGCGTGGATCATTGCTTCCATGAAGTACACCGGTTTGCTGCGGTCGGCGAAGTTCGTTGTTGATATCTGGAGGAAGTGCACGGAAACTGGTTAATCAAATAGACATCAACGACTTACACACTATATACGCGACTCACCTTCAAGTATTTAATGTCTCGCCCTTCAAAGCTCTTCCCAGCATTGACGACAGTCACCAGGTTCGGGTACCTGGCCTGGACCGTCTCCATGTAAGCATCGATCTGGTTACGGAACAAGCAACATGTAGTAGAGCATTGAGTAACACTAAATGCTGACACAGGCGTGAGTGAGGGAGGCGGCTCACCTCGGCGTATCGTTGGTAATCCTGGAATATCATCCTGGGAGCTCTGCTGCTCCTCCAGCTGGATATATCTGCGTCATGTTTCTCCAAAGCTCTGTGGATAGATTAGAGTCCTCTTTGTTGAAGTAATGAGCGTGTCAAATGTAGGCCATTGTGTGAGTACTCACTGTGCGACGTCCTCAATGTGCACGTAGTGGCCGACGCCCTCAGTGTCCAGCGAGGTGAGGAATTGGTCCCTCGCGTGTGGCGGCACCATCACCATGGCGTCTCTCTGGCGCGGCATGCCGTACTGCCACATGTCCAGGTGGAGCTCCAGTTCCAGGTTGTGCAGCAGCTCCAGGTCCGAGGAGTTACGGAGCTGGACTCCGAACACTGTGGCTCTGAAAGAGTAACGGAACAACACGTTGTTATAAGCATATACATAGGAATGGTGGTCAGTTCAATGGTCTTCGACTGACATATATCTCTTGACCTGCTAATGATCTACTCGAAGTCAAAACATTTGCTTGAATGAATGTACATGCAGCCAGTTCTGGAACTCTTACTTTATAATATAATTGTGAGCAGTAAGTATACCTGGAGTACGCGTCGTGTCGGGACGCGCGCGCCACGCACACCACGGCCGCTGCCGCACACACACACACCAGCAACTTGCCCTGCATCGCACGCGACTATGTCGGCCTCTGTTCCGAGCCACACTACGTGTTTCACAATATTCTTAACAACATATCTAGATATAATATAAAATTGGATTTGAAGTAATAAATACCCCAAGATAATCTCAATTTTATTGTTTGATAAACGCTCAAACTACATACATTACTTGTGCCGTCCGTCACATATACAGATAGTTGATGGACGACTTGGTTTTGAACTTTAAAATCCACTTTGTGCTCATCGTTTACGTCGGCTCTCAAAATTTCTGCAGTAATTGTTTCCCTACTTCAATCGAGTTGAAAAATTTTGTAAATGTCAGTGACAATTCCAGTGGGTGGCTCTCGACGTACACTTGAGATAAAAAGAAACGTTTTCAAACGTAATTAGGTGGCCACTAAACAAAGTTTGGTCATCAAAAGCGAGCACCATCCATCCATACATCCAAAGAGATAAACGCTGTTCTCACGTAATATAAATAAATGTTTCATGTATTTCTCAAGTACTGTACATTGCAGGTAAGAAAAATCTCAAGCGATATTACTTAGGAGCTTGTTTTAAAGTTTCTCTCGTTTGAACAATTCAGCTTAGTCGTATGTGTACGTGACACACGCAGCGCAGGAAGCTGCAGACATTGTGAGACAACCTCACCATGACACGATAATGATGGGTATCTACCATTTAATCGGATCGATAGTGCACACCGTGTCACAAAGATAACGTTACAATTCATTATTTATGTCAACGGATTGCGAAATAAATAATTGGGTTTGACTTGCGTACTACTGTATCATATTCTCAGTCTTATAATCCATAAATGTGCCTCTGTAGAGAGGTGCAGGCGGGCAGTGTGTCAGCTGTACTGCGAGCAACACAAACTATGGCCGCATCGATATTGGACCGTGGCCGAACGAGCGTCGCCTCGACCGTACTTCATTCATATAATATTTTTATTAACGTTATTAACTTTCAACATCGGAATCGTTCACGAGCTGTTATTGCGCAGCAGCATGAGTGTCTGCATGCCTCTGATCTACAAACTTATAAAAATATAACCATGTGGAACTACAAATGATACATTACGGCAACAATACGTTACATTCCTCTTCAAAGTTTCGATTAATTTTGTATTTAATTCATTCTGTTTTTTCTTTTAATAATGAAATGAAGATTTTAAGAGACCGGCAATGCACTTGTAGTTAACTTCTTTGGTATTCGAGTGTCCATCCGATTGCCGATTACTTACCATCAGGTCGGATTATCCGACCGCTCGGCTGCCGACCTATGACTAAAAAAATACTGAGCAGTTGTTTATAATGCTAATTTGAATTTGAATTAGCTTTATGATTTTATTCTAAGGTGTAGTAGTTTTTTTTTTATCAAAGAAAACTGTCTTTTAGTCTTATTGTAAACTCGAGGCTGCGAGCGCAGGCCGCGATATTTGCTCCGCGGCAGCGACGTGGCCGTCTGTGACATAACACTTACTTTTGAAGAATCTTTTCATAAAGTTTCACATACATTCGACAAGCGACCGCCTCGGTATCTGTAAGGAATGCAATCTATAACCCAGTTCCGTTCTGTTCAGGAAGTTTCAGTAACTTTACAAATATTCCCAGTCCTTCACTCCCCTCGAGCGCGTACAACTAATCTCGGGGAAACACTCGCCAATGCTAACACGTCATATATAACATTATGAACATCTCTATTTAGGCAGCCGGTACAAGTATTGTGTGCGCTATAAAGAAGGGAGTACATACATTGATACCATCAACACAAACACATCCCACACGTGATTTCGTTTGGCGAGCGACGCGGGCGGGCGAGAAGTGTTCGCTGCCATTTCGCAACTCGAATGAAACTCCATTTAAATTATATTTTCCATTTTGTTTTGTCGTCTGCTCTGTCAATATATGGCCGTTAACTTTAAATTGAAACGTCGCTCGCAAACATTGAAATAAAACGATGATTCAATTATACGATGAAAATCCGTATCTCGTACACTGTACGACCAACTTTTTAAATTAGGTCAATTCCTTTAGCATCGGACACGATCTGTGATAGAGCAGGTACGATAGACCTGATAGTATGACGACGGACAGAGATAGAGGATGTTCTTAAGTGTTAGCAGCGCAATTTAAAAGTTTGTCGTAAGATATAGCTAGGGGTGGGCACGACACATTTGTCAACGCACTGCTAATATAAATTGAGACAAATGTTGGATAAAATGTTGGGCGTTGGGAAATATGTTTAGGGCCAACTTTGGAGTGGTCGTCCGCGCGGAAATCGTTTGTTGACAAACTGCGGTTAGTTGGCAACTGCTGATTGCATTTGCAGTCGTTTCATAAAAGGCTGACGAGTGGCACTTCGTCAGGAGTGGCCCTTGCTTCGAATAGTTTACGCTGATTGCAATATACTTTTAAATGGTTGAGTTTATGCAAAGATTATTATTGTGCAAATTTAGACTTAAGAAAGCATTTCCCATTTCACGTAAAATGGAAAATATTTTGATTATTAAGAGATATTATCGCAGTGTATGACGCGACACAAAGATGAAGCGTTTATTTTTACCTTTATTTTCCCTCCCCAGCCTGAGTCCCGTGGCTCGGAGCGTTATAAGCCAGCACAATCAACATCGCATTATATTTCCTGGAAGAGAACAAATAAATGTTTATTTAGAAATATATTCGCGATTTGCTCAAAACCCCATTTTGTTTGTAGCTTGTGCAATCAGGCTCCTTTGTGTACGTTTGTACAGGAAACTAGAGATGACAGGATGACGGTTGCACAAATGTTAGTGCGGAGCTGACCGCTGCGTGTAATTGAAGCGGCGACCGACGCCATGTTTGAGCGCAGCACCGCAGTGGACATTAGCGCCCTGCGAGATTAACTGCTTCTAATATGCGCGCCACAAATCAACGCGCGACATGTTGATTGCTCACAGCTGAACACGCCACCACTCATCTACACCATCGTGTTTACATGGACAGTGTCCGACTTTATCTACTTCCTACACTATTGCTAATATATCACATTATAACATTTTCATTTCCTGGTTGTAAGTTGTGATAAAAGTAATCGATGTAAATTTTTTGTGACAGTCGGAAGTATTTTTTTTTTGAGTGAGGGAGAAGTGGTCGTTGCGCGGCACAGCAAACAAAGAGTTACTTATTGAAGCAAGTCAATTATACCGGAGTGCAACGGTGACAGACGCGGCGCACACTGTCACTACTCCTTGCAACACGAGCCAGCGAGTCTCGCTCACTGAACGTGTTCTCGTTTACATCAACACGCTCACCTTGTGCTGTGTCGTTTAATCGAAGGACTTAATTCAATGTATAATAAAATATTTTTATAAATTCCACAAACTACAGTATCGATATTTGACGCTTGCTAATTGATTGTTTGCATGAAAACAAATAATTCTGATTATTACTTTAGACATACACAGTAAAAACTACGAGATGCCTGATGGATTTGGCTGGCAAGTTCTTTTAAATTAGCTCAAGGTCAGGTCTCCAACCGATATGTTGGAGGCACTGTCACCTCGCCACCGACCTCGTGTGGGGAACTTAATTTGTTGCTCCATTACACTGATCATGAGAGAGATGGAGTGTCGCCATTCAGTCGGCGGCACGCCACACGTCACGTGCTGAGCACAGAATGAAGTGTTTGCCGGTACTAATGTATGGTACATTCGCAGCCTGTGGCTCAGCCACTCATAGTTTTGGTTTTGTGGTTCTACTAAAACACTACGACAATTAATAAGCGCCCCGGACGAATATCGTGATATTTATAAAGCGGCGCAACAAGCAGCTGTCATCCTGAGGCGGCAGTATTAAGTACTTCACTGTAATATTATCTGTGACTGCGCAGATCTCCCGCCTTCCTCGTAGAACCTTTAATTTATTTCGCTCGGTAAAACTAAAGTATTCTTTTATATTTGCTCGAGTGTGGCTCGACGCCATCTTACAATTAAAAAACATGCAGATAGATGGATTCATCATCCTACAACATGACTATTGTCAAAAAATGATAAACAGACTTAAATTAGTATTTTTTTTTATTTCTGTTGCTCGGTTGTCTTCATTCACTTCGTTACACAAAGTGTTCACTACAAGTGCATCGAGCCCCACTACTATTACGAGTAGGTCATCCACAGCGACGTATGTACATCATTACGATAAATAAGCGAATACATGAAATGTAGAACATCAACTGAGTTAAAACATGTCCTCCTGAAGTAAACAGCTAGGTAGGTACAAATAGAGGAACGCCTACCGCTGCGGCGTCCTTCTAAAAATGTTCCCAGAAAAAACCGCGAAATGGCAAAAACTCATTTGGCCAATTTCCAACATTCACATGCCAAGGGAGTCCGTGGATTATCCTAATGATTTTCATAATTTCACACTTTAATTGTTACTGCGAGCGTTCTGTCTCGTTGTATACGAACATACATGTGAAAGAGAAAATTGCAGTTAATCCTGTCAGTGTGGTGTATAAGGAGAAACAACAAACAGTAGCAATCCTCGATCGCGGCTCGTGTACTGATACGCGGTTAATCATGCGAATAAACTGCGCGACAAAATATTACAAATGGCCGCGTCTCGTGAACGTTAATATCGCGTGTAGCCAGCCTGTGAGCCTCGTCTGCTCACTGGGCCAACAAAAATGTCCAATATCTCGGAATGGCGGGCGTCTTATTACCCAGCTAATTTGTATTGCCGCTGTATTGGCTGCTCCGTGATGGAGTGAGCGTGACTTGTGGCTTTATTCGGGTTATAATCGTTGCCCTTTTGCGGAACCATTATGCTATAGAGGTGGCTTTTCTACACAGTGATGCTGGTGTGGGCGTGCGTGCATAGAACATACTATGTAGTGCTAATGTTAACACTAATATGTTTCTTACTTATACACCGTGATAGCGTTAGCCCGCATCAAAACAACTTTCCATAAGGAATACTTTCGATGTATAAATTATAAACAAAAAATAAAGAAGTTATTTTATTTCAATCACTGAGTACTGTTGGATGGTAAGCAATCGGCGCCACCAATGGACACCCGCAAC